GGAGAGCTACTTGGTGGCGAGCTCCCTAGTGGAGAACTGCCTGGTGACGAGCTCCCTGGTAGAGAACTGCCTGGTGACGAGCTCCCTGGTGGAGAACTGCCTAGTGACGAGCTCCCTGGTGGAGAGCTACTTGGTGACGAGCTCCCGGGTGGAGAACTGCCTGGTGACGAGCTCCCTGGTGGAGAATTGCCTGGTGACGACCTCCCTGGTGGAGAGCTACTTGGTGACGAGCTCCCTTGTGTAGCTCAACTCGACTGCCCTCTGCATGAGGTGATCTCCTCTCCTTTGTAGGCAGCGGGAGCTGAGGGACCTACAAGAACTCCATCCTTTCCTCCTCTTTGTAGGCGGCGGGAGCTGAGGAACCTGCGAGAGATGAATCAGAGGACCCGGGGGTGTTTACCCGGCGGGGACTCTCCGATGCCTAAGTTAGCATTCTGATTGCAGAGAGCTTGGAGAGAAATGAGAGAGATAGAGAGCAGGGATTACTTCCATTTTTCCATTCCCTCCCCCCTTTGGCTTTGGGGGTCGGAGTCCTTATATAGTGGTGCCCAGTCACATCAGGCGTAACCGCCACTGCCCAAGCCATTACTACCAAGACTGAGGTGACAGGTGCAAGCTGTTGCTGCAGGGTACGGACTCGTCAAGCGTGCCATGCTTTTCAGAGACAACAGGCACGACGCCGCCTGGCAAGAGATGTGGGCGCTGCCACCAGATCTGTCAGGTACGGTTGTCAGGCAGGAGATCTTCCTGCGATACGCCAAACTACTCTTCTATACCGAGCTACCCTACAAGTGGCGAGCTGCCTGGGGGAGCTATGCCGAGCTCCTTGGGCTATGCCAAGCTGCTTGTGGCGAGCTCTACCGAGCTGCCTGGCTCCTTGGTGGCGAGCCTAGCTCCTTGGCGAGCTCTTTGGTGAGCTACCGAGCTCCTTGGTGAGCTACCGAGCTCGTGGGGTATGCATGCCAAGTTTATCGGTGGGCGTCTTATGGGTTGCCAGGTCAGCCAGGTCGGGTCATGTGCCGGGCTGATCCAGGTCGGCTAGGTCGGATCATGTGCCAGGCTGATCCAGGTCGGCCAGGCCGGTGCCCGAGTGGGACACCAACTTGGTAAGTTGTTGCCTGGGCGTCGCCTAGTTGTCACGAGGTGCTATGTGTCGCAATTTCACTGGAGGGCCAAATCTGCCCTCATCAGATACCTTTAGATCATGTGTGCAAACCTTGAGAACTGTGATACTATCACAGAAATTTTCAATTGGAAGTTCAATGACCCTGGATACCATACGTGATATCTTACCATTGCTTATCCTAAATCTTGAGGCATGACTTTTTAATATTCAAATATTTTATTGAAGCAGGCAGAGGGATTAATTTTATCAACTATCACAAGTATAAAGGAAATGGATCAACTGATGCCCTTGCCATCTATGCATGTATCTAAAGAATAATACTACCTCCCTAACTACAGATGTTCTCCAAGACTTCAGAATATTATTTGATGATGCAACTGGAATCCCCTGTCTCAAAAGAAAACAACCTACTACACTCCATCTTGGCAATGATGGCTTGATATTCTAGCTCAGCTTTCTTTGTAATTATTGTTAAGTGGCGTAGTTTGCTTATGATGATGATCATAATCATCATTTTTTTTTAATCCAAGTGCAGTGCCAGGTAGAGGATTCCCTGTATACAAACTGAAGGAACTACCCCCTCAAGGAGGGCAGAGGATTCAATGAGGCTCCTTCATTTTGGATTCACCTTTTTTGTCAAAGGAAATTACTGTCCAAAGATATTGTCCTGGTGAAAAGGGAAGTCTTTTTATATTGCATGCAATTCTTTTTGCCCAAACAGTTGCTTTGCACAGTGAAGATCTTAGTTTTAGGATTCGAGTCAAACAAGGAATGACATTAGGGTGTATAGATAGGAAAGAAAAATTACTGATGATGGTAATAACATGAAAAAAATATCAGAAAACAAAAGAATTACAAAATAATGTACCAAAGAGGAAACCTAACCTGCATATTAAGGGCAACCATTTGAGCTCCATACATCCACCCAAGTAGTGGGTTGTAGTTTGATGAATCAAAGCGTATACCCTTTGGGTATATTCTCAGCAAATTCTGCTGTGTGAACCTAGAACAAGCCAAACAATCAATCAATCATCAGGAGAAAAAAAGGAAACAAAGATTAGAAAAAAAAGCGCATAACTAGTTATAGTTTGTGTATCAATTCAGACATGATTTGCATTGGAGAATAAATAAGAGAAGAAAAATCTAAACTCTGAAGCATACATGTCTTGGGGTTGATTATTAGGTCACCATGCCATACATATAAGCAATGCGCATTCAAGGGAGTAGAGGGCCAACATTAGAAGAGATCATTCTAGGGAGATTTTTGTGTATATTATTGTTTGACCCCTCTAAGAAGAATTCTGAAGCCAGGAAGAAAAGGCTTGGATCACAATATTGTAACAATCAATTTATGAACATGTTGCTTGACCAATAGCTGAAGAGCACCAATTCCCAAAAGGTAGGACTTTTTGAAGGCAGCTTCTGCATTGTACACCATATGATCACCAACATGCCACAGGCAGAATGACTTTTTAGTCTACCAAGTACCAAGATTGGCATATTATATTCCCAAATAGAGTGGATAGTGCAAAAGTGAAATTTTGTAGCTATCTCATATATCATTTCCAAATGTTCACAGTTGGACTGTTGAAATGTTTTAAAGTATTAAAAAATATTTATCCAGTTTCCTGACACAGATACACAAATGAGCTTGTGCACAAGATTTCATTCAAATGAATCTTGTTAAAAAACTTAGTAACTACCTGATTATTTCTGCTCCATGGGTTATAACAGCCTTCTCAAGCTCTTGTTCACTCAAACTGAGACGCCTGACTCTGGTTGGCTCCACCTTTAACCATTCAGATAATCCACCCTTCAGCTTCCCAGCATGAATAGCAATTAAATGTTTATATTGAGGTGCTGTATTCTGCTGTAACTTCCGATCTCCATCATCAGCATCTTCCTCGTCCTCTGCTTCATCTGAACCATTCTGCTGTAAAATTCTAAGTGAGCAATTAAACAGACATCATCTTTGTCTATGTCTAAAACAAATATAACAACACCATAAACTATGATTCGCATGCACCTTATCAACAGCTTCAAGTTCAACTTTAAGGTCAGGAACTTCTTTCCCCCAGGCTTCTTCCTCAGCTGAGTCCTTCCCCTTCTGTGAATCACTTTCCTTTAACTTAGCCTGAAGATACTCTTTTGGTGGTTTAGTCGATATGACAATTCGCTGCTTCAATGATTCTGGTGAAGGGAATTCCATTAAACATTCTGATTCAGGAGTAAATAACACATCTTGAAATGTTTGTGTGACCATCTACAAAGGAAGTTATTTGCAGTCATAAGATGCTTCATTGCAAACCACAATGGTGGTTAATGTGCACACTTAAAAGAAGAAAATGAAAATACATGCTTACCTCAGCTACTTTAGCCTGAAGATCTGGAGTAAGATGATCTTCTAGAGTTATAACTACAGGATATGAAGATGCAGAGAAGGCATGCTCCTTAATAGACCTCAAACATTTTATGAGTTCCACTGGGGTTGTCAGTGTCCTATACGCAGAAAACCAGATTACTTGGAAGAGAAATTAGGATGCAATTATATCAGCTTGAGAAGATCAGCGAACAAAAAAGGCTGTGATTCCCTATCCTAGTCTACCCAGTTTGCAAAACAATCACTGTAAACTAAATGTTCAGTGTCATTCTTTTATTTATTTATTTATTTTTGCAGAATTGTAGTTCATATTAACTCATTTATGAAACTTCTTCAATATCTTAAATTTAAGAACATATCCTTTTTATTGACTAGTCAACACCTAGGTACCGACTAGCCATCACATTGAATAGAGAGGACAAAACAGCTAATCAGTGCTTAACCACATTGATTCCACTGATATTGTCTACTCTTCAGATGTATTAAAGGTTGATCTCCAAAATGCACCATGAATATCAAAGAATCTGCAGAAGGAGCTACTAATAGCTCAAAGAGATGGACACAGTATGCTCTGAGTTTTAATGAAAGTCATCCTTTCTCAAAATAAACAAACAAATAAATAAATACTATGATAGAGATTTGACTTGCACATTAAATATATACCTTCCATGAAGAACATCCACATTATCTTTTGTAGAATTTGGCCATATATCTAGTTCAATCACTCTTACACTCCTATGCAGTGCATTTATTATAGGGACATCACTGCAATCACTGCTAAGTTGATTCCCAGTTAAATAGGAATTATGCCCTGTATATATGAAATAATGGGACAATGGAGAGTTCATATCATGATGCACCTGGAAAAGGGGCATTTTGTCAGTCACCAGGAAAGCTAGAGATCTCCATGGTTTGTGAAATCAGTAATAAGAGAGACAAATCCAAGAAACATAGTCAAGTACATATAGGTAATTCATGGTTTGAATGGATTGCAAAGAAATAGTGAAATATCATCCTTTATTCAAGGGATAAATTTCAGCCTAAACTACCTTGCAATGTGTCTAATATAAATCGTACCTTATAGACACCTTTTAAAAAAGAAAGCTTTGGGAACTATTATATTTTTATCATTAACATACACAAAAATACTTTATTAATAGTCATACAAAGAACAAAAGTAGAGGTGCAATCCCTAATCTGATTAGAGAAACGGACCAAGGAACACATTAATAACCCTTGACCAAGATCAACACAATCCAGAACCAATACATATGAAATAAAATGCCATCAATCTGGATTGTTAGCCACTCAATACAACTGGGGTCTCCCAACCCCTCTCTTGTTATTTCATTGCCTTGTTGGCCATGGAGTTTGCTGATTTCAGGACCAATATTGTTTGATTATTTCTACACTCTCTACCACAGTACCAGTATTATCTCCCTCTTTCTGGTGGTTACCACTGTTACCACGCTTTCTGAACTAGTTACCATTGCAGTAGAGCTTGCTACCAATTTTCATCCTCTTATAATAGAGTCCTACAGAATAAGGAGCCAAGAAATCTTTTGTTGTTAATACACTATTACTGTAATTACATCTTTGAGGGTGTTTCATGCTTCTTTTCAAGAAAAAATGCTATCATTTCTTTCTTGTGCATTGTCATATTTTCTCTTTTAGTGGCTAGTTAGGGGAATATGGAGTAAATAGGTTCACGAGAACTGATTTCTTTCACAACTTCTTGTTGTATCCTAAAGTTTTCTAATTATTGAAATCTTTTCAAAGTTATTGATAAAAAAAAAAAAGAACTGAAAGAGGGAGGAAAAAAATGGTTGGCACTCTAACTTATCTTGCAATGAACACACACATGAGGTAATAAGACCCAGGTCTTCCATCTAATGCTGGCACATCTCACCAATATTTTTATTTTAAGAGTAGCTTCCCAAGAAAAGGCCTTAGTCATGGGAGGAAAAGGAAGGTAAACACATGGATTCAGGACCTTCAAGAATGATGAATGTGTGACTTCTAGGTTAAGTTGCCAAAATTACCTTGTCAATGCTTCTAGGCTGAAGGACAGGATCCTTTAACAAGACTTGATCTGAGAACAATACCTAGCTATTCTTATTTCAGCCCTTAAACCATACGTTTATCAAGTACATGTTTGGCATTGATGCTGCAGATACAGCACTGTTTTCTTAGAAAATGGTGTTGCTGATGTGTGGGTTGGAAACATTGCTGCCAGGTAGGACATTTCCTGGGGCAACAGCAACGTTTTCTGTTTGGTACCAATGCTCCAGGAAACATTTTCAGCACTGGTACCTATTATCCAGTGCCACATCATGTCCCTGTCACTGCCACCTCATGTCCCCATTGGCAGCAACGAGCTGCAGCTCCAGGAAATGCCAAATTCGGCGTTTCTCCAAGCCATGCCTTCCCGATTTCCAAGGTATGGCTTGGAACACCATTTTTTTTTATGGAAAAACGGTTCCAAACAAACAGGTGTTTCCTGGAGGACTATTTTTTATGGAAAAATGGTTCCAAACAAACAGGCGTTTCCTGGAGCACTGTTTTTTCCAACATGGCGCTGATGTGTTGCCGTCTTCTGGAGCAATGGCATTGATGCCAAACAGACGCCAAGTCAACCCAGTCTATGTGACCCATAACATGCTGAATTGAATCATTTCCAGCCCTTAACCTTCACTTTTAACTGAGAAAGAGCCAGCCCCTGTTCTTGCATAAAATCCCAGTAGAACCCATCCCACCAATTCCCTTAAGCAACCTTAAGCTTTCTTCTACTCAACCAGCATCAGATTTTCTTTTTAATTTTTAATAAATGGTGAAACTGTATTGAATAAGGAGGGAGAGGTCCGCTCAAAATATAAACCACATCAGTTGGTTTTTACTTGTTCTATGTACGAGTTGGTAGTTTATAATTTGGAACGTTTAAATGAACCCAGTTCTCTAGGAAATAGGCTTCTTTAGTTCAGATATTAGTTCGTAATTTAGTTTGATTTAACTTGTTATCATACATAGATGCAAGTTGCAACGGTACATAAGCAATAAGCAGTATATAGATGACAGCTCAAGGCGGTATCAGATCAACCAATACAAGCACCATAAAAGGATATTGATGATGTTTTATGCACAGTTGGTTCAAGATAAGATGTACATGTGGTAATTAATCCAACAAACATTATCTATCAAAAAAAATCCAACAAATATTTATATTTTTGTGTCAACGAGAACCTCAGCATTTCCAACGTTTTGAAGAAATACAATGTTTTTGTTAAATTGGTACATTACAGGGAAAATCCAGTTCAACGATATGAACACGGAAAACAAATCGTGATAAGTGAAAGGGCAATTGACCAACACGAACATAAACTGCTATAAAGGAAACGACAAAACCAGATGTCAAAAAAAAATTCTACAAGAGCACAATTAAATTGAAGAAACAAAGTGTAGAAGTATAATTACCCCGACAGAAGGCGAGAGAGGGGGATTAGTATCGCCGAACAGATAGCGGAAGAAGGCTTCGAGATGGATACCCTTTTTATGGAAGATATTGAGATGCTTAAGCTCTCTGAGACTATCGATAATGGCTTGTGCATCCTCCGTTTTCGCCGTCTTCTCTTCCTGAATTTCGATCAGAAAGCTACGGAGGTGATCCGCGTTCATGATGCCATTTTCTGAGTACCTGTTGAAAAGGGCCTTAATCTCTTCCGGAGCTTCAGCCACTGTCTGCTTGAACCTTCGCCGGAAACAAAAACAAACCCTATAAGTTTGCTTCGACGCCATTATCTCGTAAAGAAAGAGAAAAGGATGAGTGGAGTTGCAGATTAATAGTTCGATGGCTTTGGGGAGAAAAGGTGGGGGGGATCTTCAACTGTAAGAGGAGATTGTTCCTTGGCTCTGCTACTCTGTTGCAAGGAGAGACAGATAGATGGGATCCAGAGTACAACACTCCACTTCTCACCAACAAGAGCTGGCTGGCTTTGCTCCTGCTCCGGCGAAGTGAGCAACCGTTTTCGATGTTTGTAGCAGAATTGCTGAGAGCGGGTGGAAGTAGAGTAAAGCACAGTGGAGTTGCTGCATCAATCCTAATCGCATCAAACTTTACAAAGAAAACTCTAGCTCCTTTAGAAAAGAGAAAAGAATCCTATTTACGGTGGATGAGAAGGCCACGCCTCTTTGTTTATGAAAATTTTCGTATTTTCGATGAGTTCTTTCTCTTATCAAAGGAGCGAAGCCAACCCAAACTTTACGATTGTAGGTCCCGCCGTCCCGCATCTTCTGAGTTCTGACCTTTATATTATATTTTGTGGTTTTACCAAGGTCAGGATCTGCTGCATTACAGCCGCACATCTGGAATATCTCACTCCCAATATACGGCTGTGGTGTTCGGTCCGAAACCGTTACGATGTATAGTATGGAACTATGGATCTTAGAGCCATAGCCTTCCATCCTCCACCATTTCTTACTGATCAAATTGATTAATCCAGGCCAAAGGCCGTTTTTGCCTTTTTGGTGTGTTGGGGGATCTCCTACCACACAATATCCATATTCATTCCCCCCCATACATCACTACAACCGCTTATCATTTATGGGAGATGGGAGATGTTTTTAATATACAGCTAGTCAGCTACCGTGTGTGAATAGGAGATGTGCATTGGTTTTTGGTATGGAGGGTCGCATTCAAATTGAAGCATAGCAGATGGAGGGTCGCATTCAAATTGAAGCATTGTTAAGGTTTAGTTTTGACTTTTGAAGGGGTACAAATATAAATACGTAGGGTGCAAAGTAATGCAAAATACGAGATTTGAGCCCTATATATTTGTATTTATACAAGTTCCAAACTGAGTCTAATAACATTTCGGGAAATATATAATACGGAAAATATTTTGACCAATCACAACCCCATTTCGTGAATTTTGATGAAAACCCATATCATGTATTTTCCTCATTATAGTTAAAAATATAATTAATTGAAGAATTTTGATCAGGTCCACTATTCATGGGTGATACTGAAGAAGCATTATAATGGCTTTTAGGTGTTTTTTTTTCTTTCCTTTTGGCAATGGTTTTTTTCGTGTTGTGTAGAATATACTAGCTCTATTAGTGAATAGATCTAGTATATTCCACCTGGAATTATCGACTAAAATATATGAATTAATGGTGCATCCATTCAAATAAATTTAACCAAAATCAATTAAAAACAAAAATTCATTTTTTTCCCTTAGTAAAACATGGACGATCACTCCATTTTTTTTTTCAATTTGGCCAATTTTGTTTTCTATACAAAAAAGTGTCAAGGATACTTTTGGAATAAACAACCATGGATCATACTTTTGAACATTTTCCACTCAGCTTAGGGGTATTTTAGGAATAAACAACCATGGGTCCATGCCCTTAAACATTTTCCACCAAGTTTAGGTGATCATATTACTATTTTCATATGGCAAAACAAATATTTCTTAAGGCTCAGTTTGGAAAGAGTACAAATGCAAATATGTACAGCATAAATACATACAAAATATAAGGTTTTGCATTCTACATATTTGTATTTGTACTCTTCCCAAACTCAACCTAATGAAAGATTTATTGAGTAAATAGATTGCAAAATATAAAGGATATTTTAATAAAATGCAAACTATAAGATAGGTTTAAATAAATTTGTAAAACTATAGGAGGTATTCTATTAAATAACCTAATAATAAAATATTGAAGAATCTGACAATGAATCCGACTTCAGCCTCCAATCAGTTATAAACATATGGAATGAAATAGCTTTAATCAGATTGAGATTGGAGTTCCAACTGTGATTGAATATTCCTACCAAAAAAGATTGAGATTGGAGTTTTGGCAAACATATACTACCAGTTGCAGATCTAATCACCTTGAGCTCATTACACGTGTAAGGAGCAAGGAAGAACAGCATCTTGATCATAAGAAACCGACAAAACACAAAAGCAACCTTTCATTATTGATAGATAATTTTGTAAGCAAAGGATGTCCCATTAATTATTTAGGCATCCAAAAGAAAACAAAAGATGCCCAAACAATGTAATAAGGGCAATGCATTAGCAATATCTATGTATTTGTATGTTTTTATTTATGGGAGATATTTCCAATGCAGTTGCTGTAAGAACGATGTGAGAACAGCTCCACGAGGATTAAATTTGAACCATATATAAATTTTGCACATGGTTCTATTTTAAATCTTTTTGTTTGTAATTATGATTTAAGCCTCTTATTAAATATAAAATTTGTGCTTTTTGTTCCACTAGCATGTGTGCATGTGATTTGAAGGTGACAATTTTAGATGATGATGATAATAATAATACATCTAATTTTGTTTATAAAATTTACGTATTTTTTGTTTTTATATTAAGCCATTTGACTTGTATGATTGAATTTGCTTACTTGCCACATGGACAAAAGAAGCTTTTGTTTTTGGGTAATTTTTTTTAATATAAGTTTTATATTATTAAAATATTAGATATAGATCTAACTAATAAATTTATTTATAAGAAAAATACCTTAAATAAAATATATCTTATATGG